TTGCAAACTGAGGGAGAAGTGGGGGCTTTTAAGCAGGGGGGGATAGGATACCACCCAAAGGCAAGTGCAGAGTTCAAGGCCGGGAGCTGCTGCCCACCGTCCCCTCTTGGCCCCTCCCAGGGAGCTACTTTACATATGGGCATCACGAGAACCCCTCCTTCATTCTGTTGACGTTGCGAGACGTTGGGGAGCCAAATCCCTCGCTGGTCTTGCTCTTCCACCTCTCGGGGCTTAAGGGTCCAACGTTCATTCCCCACTAATTCTGGCTCAGGCTGAGGAAGCCCCTGGGGGACCCCTTGCCAGCCAGGGCTTCTGTGGGGCCTCAGATAACTAGCCTAGGAAGTCAGACATGTTCAACCTGGATGATTCATTAATGGCTCTGCGTGTCCTCAACTTCCCCAAAATTGGGCTCAGTGGTTACTTATGATGTAAGTCATGCAAAGCCCCCTTGACTCCCCTTCCTGCCTAATGAGAATTCAGGCACTGGCATTCTGGACATTAGCGATCCTGGCTTGCTTAGAACAGTGAGGGGACTTGAGGTAAAAATGCACCTTGCTGGCTTTTTTGAAATTGTGGCCACAATTGTGCTGTTCTTAATGCTGGCAGGGAATCCTGCGTAGCACAGGTGTGACTGGCCAATAAGCCAATCACGACATTATTCTCCATGTTACTAAGAAGCATGAAGTGGAGACCTTGACTGAACAAAGCAATGACGAAGGTCAGCGTCTGTTGTGATTTCGCACAGAAGAGGAGCAAAGAGGAAGAGCTGGGAAAAGGCCGGTTGTCTGTCTGTGAAAACAAGGGCCTTTCCTTACAGTTTGCCTCTCACTGCAGCATAAAGAGCCCAAGATGAAGTCCCCTTCATCTCATACTGTTTTAGCATTTATGCAGCTCACAATACAATTTAGCCAGGGTCACAGCTACAGGACCCCATATATAAGGGTTGGAGGGAATCTTGGAGGCCATCCAGTCTGCCCAGGAATCCGCACCCCACACCTCTCCATGGAAGGAGATCCACCCTGTCCTGAGTGCTCCACCCCGGACAGCTGATGTCCAACCAAGTGCTTCCTTGTTTCTAGTCCTTCCTTCTGGAACTAATCTGAACGCCCCATTTCCTAGACATCAGCTCTGGCAGCTTTGATGTCTCCCTAGAGTTGCCTCTTCTCCACAAGTATTTCTCATCACTTGCCTAACTGGACCTGCTCTAGGATGGCCTGGAACTTCAGCCTCGTGCAACCCTTGCTCGCCCACCCTCCCTCCCCAGTCCCTGCGGACCCTCGTCCTTCTGCTTCAGGTTCTTTCTCTCCCCTCTATGGGTCAGTCTCTAAGATGACCCTGACCTGAATGAGATTAAAAGGCATTCTGATCAGCAAAAGAGGGGACGGGGTAGAATTTTGTTGGTTGCACATGGGAAAGTGTGCACACTTTTGCAGGCAGACAAAGCTGTGCTCTTGGCTGAGAAGCCATTTTATACTGTATGAGTGACAACCACAGCTTTGAAAATGAATGTATGGAAGATCAAAGCAGCTGCATTTGCTGGCAAAAATAGAGCAAGAAATTGGATGTTACTCATAAATGGTGGAAACTAGAGCACATGCCTGCATTTCTAGAGTGTGTATATTCAGGATGGGATAGCGCATAAAGACATTTCCAGGTGGACAAATATGGTCTGCTCCTCCTAGCAACAAATACATGTGCAAAGAGGCGAAAATGGCTGGCTTTGGCCCACTTTGCTAGAGGGAAGCAAGAGGTGGGGGTATACAAGAGAACCTCAAAAACAGTTGGGACGCAGAAGTTGCAGAAGAAAAGGAAAGAATGGAGGGGGCTGAATGACAGGGGACAAGTGCAAAACTGGGTTTCATGAGACAGTTTGAATATAGGAAGCTGGGGGGGGTGTCCAGCAAAGCACCTGCAACTGACCTCTCCCCATTTCTCTTATGCAGAGAAGAGGGAAGGCACTGAGAGGAAGGTTGGGAAAGCTGCCATTGACTTGTGGATTTTGATTTCCAGAATTCTTTAGCCAGTTCAGGAATTCTGGCAGTTGAAGTCCACAAGTTTTAAAATTGCCAAGCTTGGAGACCCCTACTTTACTGTCATAGCCAGTATCTTGAATTGCACCTGGAAGGTACTGGGAGTCTATCCAGCTCACACAACAGGGGTGTAAAGTACCCACATGGATACATGGGGAAACCCCTTCACTGCATGTGCTGCCACATTCTGGGCCAGTTGTTTCTCGGGTGGCCTTCAAAGGCAGCCCCATGTAGAGGATGCTGCAGTAATCTAGGAGGGAAGAGACCAAGGCATGAATGGCCTCTTTAGACCATTTTCCCTTTTAATTACTTGGGTCTCAAGGCTGCATTTTGCTGATTATTTCATGTGTGTGTGCGCGCGCGCTGTGTGTTGCCTGACGTTGCTTACCATCAGAGGGGGCTTATACTTCCTGCTTTCTGTGGGGTGGCAGAGCCAGAAATGGCTGGCTTTTCTCTCTTGGCACCCATATTCTGGCTGGCCACATTGCTAGTGAAGCCCAAACTCTTCCAGAGTGATTTTGGGAACTAAGTGAGTGCTGATAGAGCTGGATTTCTTGGTTAATTAATTTACATATACATTACTATTGTGTTTATTTATTTTGATCTGCTGATTTTGTTTAATTTTGTGGTAAGCCAATATGAATTATTTATGGTTTGTTAAATAATAAAGCAGCGTATATGTTGGATAAGTAAATAAGTAGATAGTATGGTGTTGGGTAAACGTAACCAGGATATTCTATTAGGAGACGGTGGAGGAGGAGGCGGAGGAGGCTAAGGCTTCTCCCCAGAGTAAGAGGTAGGTCAGACAGATCGGCAGATAGAAATTCCCCAAAGGCAGGAGATAAAGAAGATCTTGTTAAGCCCTCACCTCCCCCCTCCAAATGTTTAATTGTATTTATTTTTTCTCAAGCCTTTGGAAGTGCTGCCACCTCAGAGTTCTCCATTGATGGCTGCCGCTGTACACAGAGGACTCTGGTGAAGAGCAGTTTTCTCCCGGAAGGCATCTGTCCTGGGTGCTGATGGATTTCCCCCCTATAATTAAGCAGGTCAAAAATAGCCTTGAGGTCTACTGAACCTGAACGCGGACAGGAGGTTTGAGGGGAGAAGAGGAATGGCATTCATTCGCTTTCTTGCAATTTGAGTTGTAGTGATTATGGTTCCATTATATTCTGGGTAGGACATCAGGAGTAATGGGGGGGGCAAGTGATCACTGGCTGCCTAAACAGCCGGGCAAGGCCGTCCTGAGAGTGAGGTCACAGCTCTTGATGCGAGAAAAGGGGGGGGGTGTTACAGCTCCAGAAGTCACATTGAGGTCATCTTGATACTTAGGATCCCCAGGAGAGTTTTGTCTAAACTTCTCCCGCTCATGAACCAGGGCCTGAGCCCCGCTGAGTCTCTTCTGCAGTGGGCCAGCACAAGAGACCGACATACTTGGGCTGGGAGGAATCCAGGAGGTCGGCTCTTTGCTCAGTTTTGTCCAGTTGTTCTGAAAGTGGAAAACAGCTGGGAAAGACCAGTTCAGAGCGAAGCATCCCCAGGAGAGGAGCGTTAAAAGCTGCCAATCATCCAGGGACTGCAGTCTAGAGGACGCGCCGAGGGATTTATTTATTGGCCGGAGAGGAAGGCATCCCGGCTAGAAGCTGGCTCGGTTCAGGCCCTTTGGAGCACCAGAGACCCGGGCAAGCGGCCTCTACACGGTGGCTGCAGCAGAGCCCTCGGGGGGAGCTCAGACCCCGGGATAACCCGAAACCTTCCCTCCCGTTCTGGCTTTTTTTCCGGCACCCAATGAAAATGATGGCGGGAGGTAGGCGACAGATTTTGTAAAACAGACAAAGGAACTCATACAGGGGATTTCTTTGACAAAATAGAGCTGCTGCATCCACTAGTCCTGCTACTTTATGCAAGAAATTTGCAATGGAAGAAAAAGGGAAGCAAAGTTATTTTATAAGGAAATTGCTTTGCTCCATTTTCCGGAAGGCAGCATCCTTCTCAACGGAGCCCGAGGCCCCCGGCAGACACGCAGGGGAGGGGAGGGGAGGGAAGGGGGGGGAGAGGCGGGAGCGTTGCTCTGCTCTACGCGCTTTGGAACGCGGGCTTGGAAGCCGCTAGCGCAGTGTTTCTCAACCTTGGAAGCGTTGCTGGCTGGGGGATTCTGGGAGTTGAAGTCCACCCATCTTCAAGCTTCCAAGGTTGAGAAACACTGCGCTAGATGCACCGCCCTCCCCCCCCCCACCGCTCGTCTGGCGGGCATCGCGCAGCCGCGTCCCGAAGGGGAGGAGCCGGGAGGGCGGGGCCGCCGTCTCCCGCGAGGGGGCGTAAGGCGCGCGCGCCGTCTGGTCGCGCCGGAGACGGTGACGCAGGCGTGACGTCAATGCCGCGGGGCGGGGCCACGCACGGCCGTCGGCCGGCCGCGAGGGGGCAGAGCGGGGCTTCTTCCGCCGAAGGCCCGGCTGGACTCGCCCTCCTCCCGCGGAGGCTTCACCGCCGCCCTCCGCTCGTCAACACCGTCTCCCTCCGCCGCGCGTGCAATGTAGTCCCCGGCCCGGCTGCCTCCCCACGACCCGCTTCCCGCACACGTGTCGCGCGATCGCCGCCGCCCCGCCTCGGCCCAGAAAGCGGCGCCGGCCCGATAGGATGTGAGCGCCGCCGGTTCAGGCCGGAGTTTGGGGGTCCCGCCGGCCCCCCGTGGCTTCCCGCTCGCCTCCCGAGCCCCGAGGGCGCAGCGGCCGCCTGGGCTCCCCCCTCCCTCCTTCCCTCCCGGGCTCTCACGCCGCTGCCCCGCCGGAACGGTAGCCCGGGGCCGGCGAGGGAAGCGGGTGTCGGGCGGGCATCCCCGGGAGAGGTCGGGGCTCAGGCCGGCCCCCCCCCTCCCCTCCCCCCGGGCGCTCCTCCTGGGCCGGTGCGGGCGGAGGGATACGGGCGAGGCGGAGGCGGCCCCCCCTCCCTCCCCCCCTCCCCGGCGCGGCGATTGGTCCCCGCCGCAGCTGCCCCGCTTCCTCGGCCGCCTGGCCCGCCCTGCTGGCTGCCGGAGGGGCTGAGTGGCCGCGGCGGCCTCGGAGCAGCCAGCGCGGAAGGCAGCGGAGCCGAGGGGAGCCGAGCGGTCAGGAGGAGCAGGAGGCCCGCAGGTGAGCAGCGCCCGCCGGTCCCCCCAGCGCCGCCGCCAGCCCCGGAGGGTCGGCCGGAAGTCGGGTGGGCGGGCGGGCGGGGGGCAGCGGCGCGCCCTTGGCGGCGGGGGGAGGGGGGGCCTTTCCGCCTGGCAGCCCCCCCCTGCCGCGCTCGGGGATCGGAAGGGGCTCCGGGGGGGGCAGAGGCAACCCCCCCACCCCCTTCCCAGGAGCCGCTTTGGGGGCGCGTGGCTGGGGCTCAGCTGCCCTCCCTGACCCCGAGTCTGCCGGGCCCTCCCTGGGCTGAGCTGCTGGATGGAGGGCAACGGCCTTGGTGGACCAAGTTGGGAATGAGGGACGGGACGGCCGCCTTTCCTTCACACGACGTGCCAGACTTACCATGCCTTGGATGTGAGAATTGTGGCAGAGGATTTAGGATCTATCCTATCCATGGCGGCTCAGCACGTGAACCAATTTGACTGCATCCCCATTATAAGTTAACCTTTCTCAGTGTTAATCTCGATGAGTTGTTTTGACCCGGCCGTTGCGGCTAATTTACCATTCTTCTGCATGTCAGGCAAAGTCCCAGATTGGGTCAATGGGGTAAATAAGGTGTGGGAACGCAGCCTCTGTGGGAAAGCATCCAGGTTCTCATAGAATTGCAAGTTGCTTTCTAACAATTTCCCTGCCTGTTTGTGGGCATTTTGTTCCTCTCCTGTTGAATGTGATGATTCTTTGAAACTGCCTTTCTTGGTGGTTATGGATTTATCGGAGGGTAAGATAATTGTTCTCAAATTGAATTTCCCCGCGTTTGGGTGATGTGGGTCTATGTAAAGAACACCCAGATAGGTTTGACATGCCAGGCTAGTTGGGTTGCTGGCTTTGGGTGCCATGCAGACACAGGGCCTGAACCACCACTGGGCAATGCCATTTTAGGACAGAATGCCCTGCAAAATTGGCCTGTGTATTCCTGTTGGATTATTTCCCTAAACTGTGGCCAAATTTATTATGAGTAAGCCTGTTGTGAAACCAGCCACTGGGTTTGGTTTTCCACTTTCTGGAGGTGGCCACTTCTGTCCCCTGAGTTGGAGGGGTCACCGGGCTCCTCTTCTGCCGGCATTTCAGACCTCGCTTGCTGCTGCCCTGGCAGTGGGTCTCCAGCAGGCAACGGGCAGCCTCTGGCCTGTCGGCCGCGAAGACTGGGCTCTCGTGGTGCCTCGGTGAGAGTCGCCGTTTGGCCCACCCCGTGAACAAGCCAACTGTGCCAGTCAGACTTGTATCATTGGCAGGAGTCGGGGGGGGGGCAGTGGACACCAAGCCCTGAGCTGGCAGAAAGCTTGTTTTGGAGCAGGGAACCTGGGGAGAGGGAGGCAGGCAGGTTCCACAGTTGAAAGGATCAAGGAGGTCCACAAGTCCTTGCTCTTGCATGAGATCAGTGAAATATGACCGACTGCCACAACGGTTTTGTCTTCCCCCTTTCTGTCTGCTATCTAGGTGAAGGTTGGCACAGCTGTGTGTGCGCGCTCTCACAGGGCCCAGGAGGGATTGTGTCCCCATAGCCGGGTTCCCATAACTTGTTTAGCTTGGTTCCTGAATGAACGCCGTATGCCGAACCCTCAGCCGGGCAAGGAGGCGCTTCACACCAAATTGCACAGGACTAAAATTAGCCACGCTGAGCACGTGGGAGTGTAGCCACCGGGCCTCCCATTGAGCCACTGAAACATGTTGTGTCAATACAGCCCATGTTGCACTTTTTGTGAGTCTCCTGACTGGAACCAGCAGCCCTCCTCTTCTGGGGCGCGCCTCTGTAGAGAAACGGGGCACAAACATGTCTTTGAGGAGGGTTGATCCTAATGGTCAGAGGAGAAGGAGGCTGAGTGTCTCATTGCCTCGTGTTAACCATGGCTTGATGTGGCTGGCATGCACCATTTATTCTGGTTATGTAAGTTGAGAGTTTGTGCAGCATCTGAACAATCTGTAGCCTCAGCTGCTGAGAGAATCCTTGAATGCCAAGCCAGCGATGGGCATGAAGGGAAGGGCATTCTTTGGGTTGCTCTCCCCTAAATTTGGGCCAGTGTCTTTCCAGGAAGGGAGAATCCTTCGTCTAGGGGCGCTTAACGGTTTTGCCGTTGTCTCTGGATCTGCTCCCCGCAAAACAAGGCTGTGTGAGGAGGCAGTGAGAGAGTGAAATTCAGCCTTCTCTCTAACCTGGCTGCATCGTGGCATCTCCTGTATCCTTTTGGTCTCTTCCTTGAAATACACGCCTGAATTGCCTCTTTTGAAAGGTTTTTGTAAGCGCCCCATTTTCAGGCTTCTCTGTTGATCGGGGCTGCCGGAGCTTTGTGCTGGTGCTGAATTTCAGATCTAGCCACCCAGGAGAAGCCTCAGCAATTTCGGTAGGAAGGGAAGGAAGGAACGTTTGGCTGGTGCCCGAGAAGGAGATTTTGGTGCAGTTTGGACCATTTCAGGTGCTGGTGTAGAAAGGGTTGGTGTAAAGGCTTGAGGGGGAGAGAAATGCTTGCCCAGCTTTGGGTTACAAAAATCCTACCTTTCTAACCCCATCCCTGCCCCATGTCTCAAGGGGCACAGTTGGCCCTTCCCTCTGCAGCCTCCCCTCCCTTGTTTCTTTCGGTTGGACTGGGCTGGAGCAGCAGCCTCCGAGGGGCCCAAACGCTCCTTGTTTGGGTGGGCACACACACCATTTGCATCCGCTGCCTTGCTTCAGGCTTGCCAGTTGTCGCTTTCAGTATTGTGGCAATCTCCTCTTCCCACCCCCATCCCCGCCTGGCCTGGGAGAGAGCCCGGCTGCCATCTTCCTGGACAGGCAGAGCGTGTGGGCATTTTCAGCAAAGCCAGGCCGCTCTGCTGCAGGTGGTTGCTGGAGCTCTGGCTGTTGCCGGTTTCCCCTCTGCCCCTCTTCTGGGCAGCATTTTGGGTTGGCAGCCTTTGCCTGGCATCCCTCCGTTCCTCCTCCTCCTCTGCTCCATTAGTTGCATTTTGACAATTTGCATTATTGTCATGTTTGATTTTGAAACGCTTTTATGGAGGGCGGCATTTTCTCTCAATGGTGCCAGCCGCCTTCTGCTCTGAAGGGCAAAGATGGAGGGAAAAACGAGGTCAGAAACGCCTAATCTCTTCCTTATTTGTAGCCACAGGAGAGCCCACTTTCGTGCTTATCTCTTCTTCAGTCTTAGTGAAAATATTTGGCGTTATCCCTGCCTGGCTGAAGCATCTTCGGTTCTGGCGTCCTTTGGAGAGAGGCTGAACTGCTTTTTGAATCTGGCCAATGGAGACAGACGGGCAGGGTTGCCCAGGGGGCAGATTGTGGGTGAGGGACCTCTCTGAACCCGAAACTTTGCCTGGTTCTTGAAAAGCACAAGGTGCTCATCGCCCCAACTCTGCAGGCAGCTGCGAGAAACCATAGTTTGGGATCCTTGGCTGTGCCCATGGTTTTAATTTTGCCTTTTGGTGCCCTGACCTTTAACGTTTGGTGCTTGTTGCTGCTGTTCATGATTTTGTTTTTATGGTGAGCTATAATTTTCTCTTTTTTAATGCTTCTGTTCGGTTGTAACTCTTTACTTTTTAATGGTTTGATTCACTCCTCAGTTGTTCAGTTTTAAATAACTTATGTAGACAGAAGAATAGGCTAAAAGTAAATCCAATCACGGTGCCCAAAAAAGAGCAGTCTCTGGCTTCCCACATCAGTTTGCTTAATCACAGTTTAGTTAATAAGCCACAGTTGGCTGGATTTGTGTAATGTCACAATGCTTTAGCATTTATGCTTTAAAAACAGTAGTAGCTGCAACCCCCCAAAATGTGCTAGGCCAAAGGCATACAAATCACACGGTGGCTTCAAGTGCGCTGTGAAGCTGGAGAGGAATTTCTCCAAGACCTGAAATTGTTGCCCAGCCAGGAGATGAGGGGGACAAATTCAAGCGGGGCCTTCCAAGATTTCTTTATCTAGCTACTGACAGGCAAAATGGTTCAGAAGTCTTCACAAGAGGAATGCAGAAAGAGGAATCTATGAACAGTTTCAACAAAACAATCCACAACATTAGCAAATCTGGATGTGGTATGATAAAAACCACAGTAATCCTACCTCGTTCCTTGGTTTTGCAATCTGTTTTCCCCTTTAAAATCTGGATTGCTGAGAAACCCCAAAGGTTTCTCCCTTTGTAGCTCTGGAGAAAGAAAAGCCACTGGTTCTTCAGAGGCTTAGCTCCGTTTATCTACATGCTGGGACTCCTGTTCTTCTTTTGAGGGTTGGTTTAGCCGTGGGCTTCCGTGGGATAAAAAAGAAGAAACAAAGGGCTTGGCCACTTTTGGCAGCCACAAATTCTGCAGGTGTGAACTATATTTTTTCTCTTTGCCATAAAACTCTTTGTCTCCCCATCCTACAGATCAAATCTGTTCAAGTGACCCTATTTATGTACTATCTTGCCTTACCAAGATTTGCATCTCCTGCCTAGATTGTAAATGTTTGTACCAGACACTGAATGTCCCACTGCTGAAGGAGCGGATGGATGTTGTTGATTCCCTGATGGGTAGGTGGGTATGCAGGGACACCAAGCCCCATGGTCCACACCTGCTGTCTCAGGGGAGCATTGGGTTATTGATGGATGCCAGCCCATGGCAAATCTGCAACATCTGTAAGTGTCCCTGGGAAGCATGGAGTCATTCCAGTTGTCAAGCAGTTCAAGGTGAGTCAGCCTAGCAGGAGTCTTGGTAAGGGTGGGGAGGAATCAGCCTCTTAGCAGCAGAGCCCTCATCAGGCTTTGTGGAGAGCTTCTTGGTCAGGAAGCTGATGTCAATCTGCTTTTTTGCATTCTTTGCAAAGGAGCTGGTCAGTCAAGTCATTATTTCACAATGAGCGACTGAGGCAGCCGGCTCAGACTCGAAGTGCTGCTGTTCTCCAGAGAAAGTTGATGCCAAGTTCTGTCTGCATTTGGCGCTGTTTAGCCTCAAGAATGTCTTCCCACTTGAGCCTGTTGGGTGCCCAGTTCACCAGCTGGGCTTTGGTG